CCATGTTGAGGTGGACGCTCGACAAGTTGTTCTAGTTCTCCTGGGTTTACAGAGTCTAGACATCTCGGTTCGGGGACAAATATCAAAATCGAGGGAAGTAAATAAACTAGTCATGCTTTATGTCTCCTGCAAACTCTTTCAGATAAATATAATCGCTCGTCAGGCATCGAGTCGGCACAGATCGGTCCATCGCCCTGACCTTCTGTCCCGAGATCATTCGCAATCGCGACCTCTCCCGGTCAGATAGCAGCTTAAGCAAAACCCCGCAAAATCGAGGACGAGCCCCGAATACGCTGGGCATCAAACTTCGTAGGAACTGCCGCATAATTATTCGTCTCGAGAGCGAAAGATCCACAGATGAGAAACAATCTTACAGCGCCACAGTGGCGGATGAATGAAAGTCCCCGCTACTGGACAGGGAGAACACGAGCCGAACCGATTCTCCAAACGGGCACTGGAGAGATCTACTCCATTCTCAAAACTGGGGGCCCGGTTGATTCCTTCTGATTAAGAATCCTACAGTCGAACGTATATCACGCGTGTGTCCATTGAAGAAACATAACTCAATGGCTTTTGACCATACCTAAGAACCTCTCTAAGAAGTGATTTTGGGAAGAGGAGCTCTTCAGATCCCGGCAACTCTCCAGAGGGATTCTCTAGATAGATAGAGAACCAAATGAACCCGACTCTCCGGGAAGGGGTGGGATTCCATGTACTATTTCTCGGACGCTCGGGTCTCCATTGTCGACATCGTGCTTCCGTTTTGGACTGCCCGGAGAGAGGAAGGCTCCTCCGCTCAGAGAGGGGGCTTCTGTGCAATTTTTACCCGAAAACGACACGATTTACACGGAAACGACCTTAGATTACCGAACTGATCGGTCTAATGATCATTCTTTCTCCGGAGCTCATCGTAAGTCAAGGATGGTCCTTGGGAGCCCTTTTCGCATTGGTACGAGTCACTCCCAGGTCACACCGGGCATTCGGGGTAGAGACCCCGAAAATGCGAGCGGGAGCTCTTTTTCTGACATCAGTGATTCTCTTCCATGCTGCCGTGGCCGGCTTAAAGCAATTCGACGTGTGCACTGCAGGACGCCACCGATCAACCGAATCTTCCGAAGCCTCTCGACTCGCGGCATCTATATTTCCGTGCTTCACTCACAAAGTGCTACTTAGGTACAGACCCCCGACTTCGACGCTGCACAGTGTGGCCGAACCCTATTTTAGGCGGCAGAAATTATTTCAGTGAGTTTTTTAGATTATTCTCGTGGTACGAACTCGTATCAGTCATCGAAGGAAATATCTGGCTCTCAGGCTTCTCACGAATAACCACGTGAGCTTTCTATCTGCTCGCGACTGAGGGTAGAACATGGCTCCCATACCTCGTGCTTGGGGAGCACGCCGTGTCGCATCGAGACGGGAGATTCTCCTTCAATCTCTCCGTTCAATGGAGCTCTATTGAACCTTTCTTCATCGTCCTGCTTCGAAACGGGTTAGAGAAGAGCCCGAATCAATCGCGTCTGGCCTCGAGTCTTCTGAGTCTGCATCGGAGTACTCACAGTCCGAATGCTGCTCTGATTCTTCCGGGTGACATCGAATATCGCGAGAACTTCCACTCAACAACAAGTCGGCAACTTCCTGGTCTACGGAGCTCCCTTTTGTTTTCACAGCGCCACGAGACGAATTCACGAGTGAATCAGACGATATCATCAACATCGAGTAGAGATCGAAGATGTTTTATCTTCTCGGGGAGCCGCGTACAATAACTTCGCAGGTCCGGCAGGCAGAAGATCCTTGACTTTGTCCCGTTTTGTCCTCTCCGCCAAGTCCGAATTTTTTTTTCCTGGGCGTCCCGCTCGAGGTGTCCCTTGAGACGCTCTTGATGGTCCGGGCTACTCGGGCACGTCTTCTTGTGCGGGTAGCTCAGTGTGGTGCACGATGGAATCGAAGTTTTTGACTTCGAGCCATTCAGCTTCTTTTCCGAAGAACCGTTCCGCTTTCGAGTTACATATGTCTCCCGACTTTTTCCCTCACTCGGGACACATGCCTGCTGATCTGATTTCTGATCTGAGTATCGGTTGCTTAGCTGCTCAATTTCAACATGAGCATGACTCAAAATGAGTCTCTCCAACCCATCAATGCACTCGTTCTTCCGGGAGTTGAAAATTGTCTCCGCAAATGTCCTCCGAGGCACCCAAATTCGAATATCTGAAAACAGCACGCATTCACGTTCGCCAAAACTTGCTGTTTTTTTTTTCGGAAATGGAAGGAGGGAGGGTGGAAGAGGATTTTCCACCCCATGAGCCGCCCGGGTCCGCCCTGGACCGTGTACTTTTCTGGCGGTGAAATTTCATGAAAATCAGTTTTTTTTCGCAAAAAAAGATGCACTCAGAAAAACTTCTAATTTGCATATTCTCGTCGAATGAACCGCTAAACTTGGAGTTTCAGACTCAATCTTACTCACGATTCGGTGTTTGCTCCATCCTGAATCGATTCCACGGAAACTCGAGCGTCAGCACGAATCGGAAGAAAAAAGTGACAGTCCGGAGCAAAAAAAACTTCCTCTTTCCAGAGTCTCTCCACAGAGATACAAGTGCTTGGTTTCTGATTGGTGTGTGTTTCCGAGGTCTCCATACTTCCTCCAAGACGCCACGACAAAAATTTTCAAAATTTTTCTTTTTTAATTTCTGCCGCCTAAAATCGGGTTTGGCCACACTGTGCGCTGGTGTCCATCTTCAAGCAGCTTTCTTTCATGCCCAGAACCTGCTTTGGACTAACTCAAGGAAGTCGGATCCTTAGTCATGAAGAGTTCCTCGTCGTGGCGATGTCCTTCTGTGAGATGTTCTTCGATTTCGCGTCAATGGGCATGCTGGGGGCTGTGGAGACGAAGCGCACCTGGTATCGATTCTCCAGGAATTTCTCCCCCTTGGGTGATGGTAACTGTGAGGCCCTCAAATCGATTTTCTTGAGTGTATTTGTCGAAAACCACTGCTCCAAATCAGGACGTAGGAGGACGCCAAGGAGGGAACTTCTCGACGATGTGACGAATCGGCACCACCTACCAGTTCCCTCTTCTCCCGCAATATTGTCCGCAAGACAGGAACTTTTTTAGATGCTTGATGCTTTGTCAGACTCTTGATGCTTCATGGGGATCGTTTGCCCCTTCTGGACAGCCTCAATGCAGAATCGCTCTCCCACCCAGAGAGGCAGTTCGAGTGCAATGCATCATCAACGGTGACGCGTTTTGTGCGGAATCGACTCTCGACGACCAGGCTAATATATCTCTCTGAAGCTCATTCTTTTCCATCGATGATCCTCGCTAGTCCCTGATGCATCGATATTCTGCTCTTTCGGACGACTCTCGAGAGGAGAGATGCTGAGAATGCGTGTCCTCGGACCGGAAGGGTGCCTCTTCAATGTCGCTTTCAGCTCAGAGCAATCCGAAGAGTGTATCGCGGGACGCCTTCGAGAGACTGATTCTTCAGGAGCCCCTCGACTCGCGGCCTCCACTACTACTAGAACAAAAGCGTCCGACTTCGAGGGTAAGCGAATCTTCAAGCCACTTCGAATCTGAGATCCCGTACAGTGAACAATAGCTGGGGGCTAGATCGTGTTCCGCGTTGAGCCTCCGAGTATTCGGTAGGGTAGAGGACTCAGTAGGGCAGAGGTTCCAAACCCGGGCTCCGCGGGCCCCCAGGGTTCCGGGGGAAGATTTTCGGGGTTCCGCAGCGGGTTTTTGCGGTCAATCCTTGGGATCCCGCTCCCGCGAGAGGATTCCTAGGCTTCCGTGGAATAATTCTCCGGCCCCACTGAGGAATATTTAGTCCGAGTTTTGTGTTTAATTTCGACCGCTAGTTCTTCGATTCTGGACAGGAGCTGCTCGAGCGGATAAGCAAGGGCCGCGGTCGAACAGGGCGATCCGAACGCAGGAAGCGCAGGGAAGGGTGGAAAATGACTCAGGGGTTCCGCGAGAGCTCCCGCGGAGCCCGTAGGGGGGTCTCCGACGAGTTTGGCGGAACCCCGGACAGAGAGGGTTGGGAACCCCAGCCGTAGAGTAGTGACATCCGACATTGAGAAAACTGGCAACCTTGCTACCCTTTCTTCGATTGTCAAAATGCTCCTTTCAAGATCTGTTTCGGGGTTTGGTTGAAAATATATCCAACCCTTGTAGTCGTCACGCAAATTCTCCGTACCTTCCCCGATCGTATCATGCCGCGATTCCTTCCGGATGCGTCCGTGTCAGGAAGTAGTTGCTAAAATTCCGTAGGGAAGGCGTGTTTCTGCGAACGGAGCTCGACTCCTCTGTTAGGCAGTGGCTCGAGTCGTTGCAGAGTGCTACGACGCTTACATCCAGGAGGTCTTCTTTGAAGTGAAGGTCCGTCTGGAGAGCCGATCGCCATTTGCGGAGTCCATCTCATCCTAGAGCATCCCCAACGTTCCAGGAAGAATTCGCAGCGCTTGCGCCTTACTCGGGTGAGCGTCGGGTTTTTGACGAGCCTCCCGAGAGGCCAAATGCTTGAGTGAATTTTCCAAATTCTCAGTATTTCTTATCTCTACCTGCGGGACGCCAATCTCCTGTCGACATTCCCCTTCGCTCCTATTTGTGATTCCAGAACACTCATGGTTGGTTCTCGGTGACGAGAAAACTGAGAGAACGAGCGTAAAATCGACCAGCTCTCGATCGGGGCACGCTTTCGGAGCTGCATATGAAGAATTGAACTAATCGATCGAGAGCACGATTGTCGTTTCAACTGTCAGTATATGAAGTGCTGTTTCAAACGATTCCTTCACTGGCTATCGCGACGGGGCAACTGGAAAGCCCAGAACGAAGCTCATATAGCGACAGCGAACAATATCAATCAAAACCTAATTTCCATAATCGTGAGGTAAACCGTACTTACATACAAGCGAGTCTGCGGGAGGGACGCTCCGGAGAGAATCTGAGGCGATTCTCTTGGAACATAGAGAAACACGGAGAGGTGCGGAAATCCCATTCGTAGACATAGATAATTATCAACAACGTTTATTGACCGGCGTAATTATGTACAATGGTGATGATGATAACTACAGCGTGAGTTTTCGCGGCATTGATCGGGTCCAGGAAGTCACCAACAGTGCGGACATCTGGGATTTCAGTCGTTCAAACGAGGTTTCTTGAATTTTTTATTCTTCGGAGACGCCTCGTCGTTCGGCCGGTCCCGTTTCCGGAGGAACTTCTTACTCATGGTATCGACAGTGCTTGAATATCTCTCAGCAAATTCCTCGTCCTGGATGCCGCCCATCGAGCCCCTATCCTCGCCGCTCGGTTGTTCTCTTTCGTCCTGGGATGAAAGCTTCTGTGAATATGAAATTCGGTTATTACTCGAACGACACTACTGAAGTCCCATCGGTGATATCGAGGACCGCTGAAACGCCGCGAAAACGCCAAAAAACCTTTCCCAGGAGTCGAGAGGAATACTTGCCTCGATCCAAGGATTCCTTCCTTTGAACGACATTCTGCCGGAAACGAGGTCCGCGCATGGCACAAAGCTGTTCTCTTGGATGAAACGTTTCTTCTTCGCTCGCTTATTCTCCATTTCTTGCGTCACGCTCGTACTGAAGAGAGCTTTCTGTTCAGCTTCAAAGAGATCTTTTTCATATTTCTCTTTGGTGCGTTTCATGAATTTCATTTCCAGCACGTTCTTCGACAGCTGAGCGTTCTTGTTACTGCTCCGAGACATTTTCACTGCTATCAAGTGGGCACTAGGAGGGACTCGAGGCTGGTATTGCTCCCCGACACGGGGGCCGCGGGACGAAAGTGCGGAATTAACACCGCTTCGGGCGTGCGTGCGTTTCAATGTGTTCCGCCTCTGTTGCTGACGGCGACACGGCCACTGTTGTGATGTCGGCCATAAGGCAGAATTCAAGATGGCGGATTCCAGCTGGGATGCACACTTGATGGCAATTCTTCTTCACACGGCGCTGAAACTACAGAAGATTCACAACCGAATGGGTAGACTTCGATCATACTTCCCATCGAATTCGTGTCAGCCCGATTCGCGTAGCATAGCGGAACATCTGTTGACTCAGGAGGCACGATATGCGCCTGAAGCTCTAAACCGCTCTGCGTTGGGATAAGAACTGAAGCATGGATGTCCAAGCAAGTCGTTCAGCACGTCGAAATCGAGTTCAAGAACCGGGGGATTGGCGAGGGCTGGTAATGCTCCGGAGTTTCACCGATCGCGACACCATTCGTCTTCGAAAACTGGCATCTTCTCTTTGAAACCTCAAATTGCGCGCGTGTGCAAAGCGTCTGCTCTCACTCTCTCCCAGGGTGAGAGTATCTCCGACTGCTGCCATCTTGAATCCTAATTTGTGGCCTAATGGTCATATTTACAGCATGGTTCGCTTGCGTCCGTGTATTACGCTTATCCGACGGAGGTAGCGCAAAATCTGTGAAGGGGACCGCCTGCTGACGTTTCATTGAAGAGATAAGGAGAAGTGAGCTGAATCAAGTTAGTATTGGCATTCGACTGCGGCTTGGGGCTTCTCGAAGCCGATGGTTTAAACTTCCGCCGCACCGTCCTCGACCCTTGTCGGATAATCCACTTGTCTCCAGCCAGTTGTAAGCCGTAAGTTGTCCTGGCGGGTGGGCGAGCGGGTGTGCGTGAATTTTTTCGGAACGCTCACTGGCCGCAGCTGTGGCGGGGTCTGTTGCCAGCAGCGGTGGAGAGGTCGCCATAGTGGTCTCACACTCAGACGTTGACGCTCGCTCACTCGCTTACGTATCGCAGATCCAGCACTACTATCCTCTCCTCATTGACTTGTCCATCGGTTCGAGAATCAGCGACAGCGACACCAGAAGCACCTAACAGTGGTTATTATTTGTCTCCTCTCGCAGCCGCACCGAATCCACGGCGAAAAAATGTCTACGTACTCACTTGAAGATGTCGCCAAGCACAACGAGAAGAGTTCGTGTTGGCTCGTGATTCATGAAGGAATCTACGATGTTACGAAGTTCATGGAGGAGGTGAGTGAGTGAAAACGTGCGCCGGGTATTTGGAACGCTAGAGGAACCCCTCTCGCAATATTCTCTGATCAGATGTTCTGATTTCTCCGAAGTTCCGATAACGATCGTCTCAACGGGCAGCTACTCGGAATACTTGTCTCGCTTATCAACCTCGGTTCTATCCAGCTCGATTCCCAAGGAAGCGAGAAAAATCCCATGCATAGCTGCGACGCTAAAGTGGCAGAAGAACTTGCGGGAAGTCATTCCGTATCCTTGAGGCCGCGGAACAATTCGAGGAAAATCTGAAGCCGGATAAGAATCAGCATAAGACCCTTGAACTGAAAATCATGAATGCGCTAGGATTGCGGGAGCTTCTTCTGTCATTGCTTCCCGTGACAAGCTTCGAGAAGATGAGAGACTTCAACGATCCGTCGCTCGTCCTTGGAATATCTTCCTCTGATGGACAAATTGGAATCCTCGATGATTTCTCGATTCCTGCCGCACTTCCAGCAAATGGATTCGTAGCGAGACAGAATTCGCCCCGTTTTTCGAACAGGTGGCTCCCGTGGCCAAGGTGTCGCTACGGGACTCTCGGACAAGTGTTCCGTGAATCGCTAATTTTTCACCAAGGCTCGAGATAACTTCTATCCCGAGACCACCATATGTATGAGAATTTTCCGGACTTATTCGGGACTCCTCCTCACCTCTTCTCTCGAGATTGACGAGCGCCGGCAAATTGACCGGGGGTGGCGTCCTTGTCAAGCCGGGGCCATCGATCTTAAGGCCGAGCAATCAGCGTGACGTGATGAAAGTAGCCTGTGGAAAGCGAATGACTTGCATTTTCCTTGAGCCTGTGGGGACTTTGACAGCGCTTTTTCGGAGTCGCAGGCGGAAGCTCGACTCAGAAACAAATAGTCTCCGTTTTCCGTCTGACCATCGGCTGCGGAAAGCAATCCACAAATTCTTCACAATCGCTCAAATTGGTCCATGGGATTCTCACAGGCAGAGTCCAGTCAGTTGACCCCGTATGCGTGGTCCCGATGACTGCGCGATCCTCGAGAGGTCCGCGAGATCAGCCCTAGCGCTGCCGAATCTAAGCCGGGTTCCGATACGGAGAGTCCTTGATTGGATCCCTGTCGGCTCTTGAGGGGGTTTCGATCACAGTCGAGTGCCCCCGGACCTGACCTCCAGACAGAATCCTGCTTGTGATGTGAGGCCGGAACTGAATCAGAGAATTCCAGTCGATTCGATTCCGGTGATCTCTCACAGTCCGCTAAGGGTCGGGATCGTCGAGTTCGATCGTCCATATGTATTCTATGGAGAAATAGGAATCTCCTTCTGACGCATCCGCTCATATTGTCCATCTGGGTAGTACAGAAGGAAATGACCGGGGATTTTTTTTCAGCATCCGGGTGGCGAAGAAGTGCTCCTCGAACAAGGCGGACGGGAAAGCACTGAAGTTTTCGAAGACGTCGGACACTCCACCGATGCAAGAGAGCTTATGGCCAAATACAAAATCGGCGAGCTGTGCGATGAGGATAAAGCGAAGATCAAGAAGGTTGGTTTCTTCCTGCACTAATGCTCAACCACCTGTTTATCCCTTGTCGCAGGAAAATTCATAAGATCGCTCCAGACTGACGATGTTGCTTCACGGAGCAAGGAATGTAGTGAAGAAACTTAAAGCACCCAGGGGAGCACTTATCCCGTGTTTCTCAATCAATCGCGATGAACAAGTCTATCGGAAGCAACTTAGTTTCTTAGCATTCGGTGTCGACAACCATTATTCGTCGATACTCTCTGGTCAACACTCTGGAGCACGAATCAAAAGCATATAGCTCGACGCTGATAATGATCAGTGACTAAGAAGGTTTTGCCAACACGGATGTACCGCCTGTGTTCGTCATAGGGAATTGATATGGTTCACCATTTGGGTTGTGAACGGGAGTTGGTAGTGGTCAGAAGCTTCACTAATTTCACCTGCAAACTCATAACATGGAGGCCAAATGATCTCTATCACTGGAAGAATGAATAAAAAATTGTGCTCGCTGTAGGGGATTTCCGCGTTCGATAACGAGCCCTCTATCGTCCACAGGTTGCCGAGAAATCCAAGTTCCCCGAGCCATCTCAATCTGAGGGCAGTCTGTCGGCATGGGTCGTTCCGACTGCCATCGCGCTTGGTGCGACGATCCTCTACCATCTATTCCTCAAGTACCAGACTAGTTCGTCCTAGACATCCCAAGCCCGGAGATTTCGAGCGGATAAATGTCTTGCGTCACCCTTGACACCTGCCGTCGACCTGACAGTCACGACTGGTGCGGCTCTCATCCAGACTTTCGAATGGTCGGTCGACAGTCTAGGATGCTTCTCCAGGTCAAGGGAATATTTTAAAGCTATTGGAATCCACATCTTTGATGAAGTGGTCAAAATCATTCCATTGTTTCAATGCAATATATACGAGTTCAGGTTCCGTCGCCTCATAGTTGCGTCTTCGTTGACGACAATAAATGAATATTTTTCTATACAGATATTGGTGAATCGTAACTTGTCATAAGAAACTCGGGAGGCTCCTCGTGACGCGATGCCGCGCTCGACGCGCTGTCCGATTTCGGGAAGATGAGTCTATTCTCGCTGCCGCGCACGAATTTTCCCCCTTCCACGGCGATAATTCCGCAAAGAACCGACGTATTCCCGGTTCCGACATCGTCTTCTCTTCTTATAGTAACTCGTTCCGAAAACAAATCCGCTGATTCGGTCTAAGGGCTCCCGCTTCCGATTGTGGCCCATGAGCCGGATCCAGTAGCACGGGAACAATTTTCCTCCGACTACCTTTTCTCGACCTCTCTCAAGACAGGAGCTATCAGAATTGTGTACCAGCCCCAAGTCCGGAATCGAGGTCGGAGGGGAATTTTTCGAGAGAAAAAACGGCAGCCTAGATCCCCTAGTCACCCCCGCGTTTGAGGTTGAAGCATTCCATCCTCCCAAGCGATGCTTTCCACCCAAATCGAGCTATCGAGCTGAATCAGAATTCACCGGCGCGACGCTAGGAACGACCGTCCTCAGCATCGCTCCTAATACTATCCAAAGCGTCTTTCTTTACAAATACGGTACTGTCGCCATTGTATCCCGAGAGTTTCCGTTGTTGTAGAAGTGAGACGGTCACTCTGTAACTTGTTCTCTGTTCGATCACGGTGTCTCTTTTCGCTTTCCATGCTTCGAAGCGACCGACCGAGGCTGGGGATTGTGTCCGAGCTGTCTCTCCGGGCTCGCCGCATCGACGACAACACCACCGCAAGCCATATCACTATCATCAGCGAAGGCAGCGAAGGGAAATTTTTCATAAATTGCCCTCGGAGCAAGGCGCGCCCTCATTTATTTCAAACTTTAAAATATGTCCATTTCCCGCCCCGGCGCATTGGCTACTTGCTCGGATGGATGTGCCGGCGGGGAGAGGGGATCGGCTCGCGGGGGTTTCCCGACCCAGGCGAACTGGCATATAGAAGACGGTGGCCGGTGAGTAGACGGCCGGGGTATGTCTGAGTGAGTATGGATGTTGTCCACACGGTGTAATCTCATAACATGGCATCGCTCGCACCCTCTGGCCATTGATAACAAGATTTGCGGGGCGGCCAACGAGGCTCTTTTTTCGTTCTTTTTTTTCGTATGCCACAGTTGTTGTGGCCGACCGACGGTCGGCAGACAGGCAGGGGCGGCGACAGAGGTGCTCGCTGTGAGTCGGTGGTGAGTTCCAGGCTCAGTATTGTCGAGCGGCATCACGTGCGGGAGTCTCGAATCGACTCTATCATCCGGGGTCATTTGCACACGCGGATCCACGCAACAGAACTATAAACAAATACCCTCATGGCATCTGGACGGTGACATCGGAGAAAAC